TTTTTTTTTTTTTTTTTTTTTTTTTTTTTTTTTGGTATTTTGTTTATCGAGACAGGTTTTGTTTTGTTTTGTTTTTGTTTTTTTCTGTTTCTGGCTGTCCTGGAACTTGCTTTGTAGACCAGGCTGGCTTTGAACTCAGAGATCTGCCTGTCTCTGCCTCCTGAATGCTAGGATTAAAGGTGTGTGCCACCACCACCCAGCTCCCCTGGTATTTCTTTACTCCTCGGGAATAATGATCAGTGAAAGAAAGGCCTATAAACCTTTGCTGCTTCACTTTTGCAGGACACTGAAGCCCCTCCCGGCCCAGCACCATTAGTAATGCTGGCAGCCCAGTCCATAGCCCCAGAGTTGCCTGAACAGGAGGAGAAGGTCTGATGGAGCCCAGCACCACCATGGCGGGGGCGGGGAGGATGAAGGGGAGGGGCTGTCCTCCTTGGATCTCTGAAGAAGATTTCAAAGAAAGCCCTCCTGAGGTCACAGACCTTTCTTCTGAGCCCTTCTTGTGTTCCCATGTCAGAAATGGCGAAGTCATGCACAAGGAAGTTCACTTGATTGGCGCTAATGAAGCCTGAAGAGCAGGGGAGTTGCTATATAACAAAGTGTGTGTGTGTGTGTGTGTGTGTGTGTGTGTGTGTGAAGTACCCTGATGACAGTTAGAAAGTACTTGTGAGGTACTATAAAAAGCCCCCTGTGTGTGCAGAGGTTCCATTTGTGCAGTGGCCTGTAGTTCACTCTGCCTGGATTTCACAGCTAATTGTCTGTTTGTTTGTTTGTTTTACAATAGTCTAGGTGTTGAGCCTGATTCCGTGGCAAACAAGGACTCTGGTGTTTCTCTAACTTCTAACCTGACAGGCATAGCGGCTCTTGTGCAATCCAGCTTCCACAAAAGATTCCACGGGCTGCAGGCCAGCTCTTCTGGAAAGAGCCCTGCCAGCCTAGGTTGTGACATTCAGAGTTTATCACTGGGCAAGCTCTCTGCTTCCTTCTTAACCTGCCAGTTCTAGTGAGCTCAAGGAGATTTAACCTTGGGATCTCAGAAAGGGAGAAATGACGGCAGAGGGAGAAGAAAGTGTGTTGACTTGGTCCTTGAGGGGATGCAGGTTGGGAGTGTGTGTGTGTGTTGCCTGTGTTACTTTCCTTTGACTTCTATAATAACCACACAGCTGAGTATGGTGACTGCCCGTAATTCCAGAACTCGAGAGACTGAGGCAGGAAGATTGTACAAGAGTGAGACCAGCATGAGCTACATAGCCTTTGCCTCTAATTAATTAGTGACTTGAATGGTGGTTGTTTTGTTTTTGTTGAGACAGGGTTTTGTGTGTGTGTGTGTGTGTGTGTGTGTGTGTGTGTGTGTAGACCTAGCTGCCCCAGAACTAGCTCTTGTAGACCAGGCTGGCCTCGAACTCACAGAGATCTGCCTGCCTCTGCCTCCCAAGTGCTGGGATTAAAGGCGTGTGCCACCACCATCCGGCCAATGGTGGTTCTTAAAAAGAAAAGGTATTATATCATAGTTTTTTTTTTTTTTTTTTTTTTTT